GCGTGCGTGTGAGAGTGGGGCCAGGGGAGCCCCTTTCCCCTCGGCGCCTGCTCTGAGCCAGGTCTCTCTCCTCCCAGCACCGTGCTACCGTGGCGTCATGCATGCACAGGCAGGAGACGGTGGATTGTCTGAAGAAGTTCAATGCCCGGAGGAAGCTGAAGGTAACTCTCATAATCTCCAAGCTGGCTGCAAAATGCATGATAAGGTCATTGGGGAGTTTGTTCCCTGAGTGGGAGAGGACAGGGTGGTGTCTCTGGGTCAGCGGTACGGGGGTGATGGACATTTGGGGATCCCCATTGTGAAGAAGGCAAAAGAGGCCAAGTGGAGTGGTGGCTGCGTCTGGCTGGGGTTCCCAAGTGCTTAGAGGAAAGCCATGGTGAAGGAAAGCATTGAGTCACACAGCTGCCCTGGACATTGGGGTAAGGACTTTCCCACTGGAGTCAGTGTAAAGAAAGCTCCTCTTTGGGGCAGGACGTGAATCTGAGAGGCACAGTGAGACCCCTTTGCCTGCTGACCAAACCACGTTGCAGCCAAGGAACAAAGTCATCCACAGACAGGCAAAAAGCTCTGGCTCACCCACACCAGCAGCCCCGCAAGCTTTCCCTTCTTGGATGCTGCCATGTGCCGCAGCCTGTACCCCCTCTGAAGTCACCATCTCCCCAGGCTTTACCATTGGGCTGGAGCACCTCCCTGAAGCACCCATCTCCCAGGTGCTGCTCAGCCCCAGCTGGCAGCGTGGTGCTGGGAACAGGCTCTGGAAATTGCAGTGCCTCCTCCAGAGCCAGGACGGCGCTGATCTGTGCCGCAGTCAGAGCCATCAGCGCTCCCGGCCTGAACACGATGTGGCACAGAGCAGTACCGCTGCAGTCTATTAACAAGATTGTCAAGAAAAGAAACTGGCTATAAACTATTATTACTTTTCAGTTAGATAAGTAATCAAATTAGTTCAGGCATACACTTCAAAATAGTAATCCATTACTGTATGCAATTAGTCCAAAGTAATCTCATTATATGCTGAGCAACTAGTTAGTAGAGTCAGCTGGAAAAGAAGAAACATTTTTATGAATGTTATTTTGCAGTGGTAATCTTTGCGTGGCTCCCATGAAAAATTCCTGCCCTGCTGCTCGTAGCTGGCATGACTTTAATTGCAATTAAATCCAGTTCCACTCCCGGTGGCTCCCCTCACCGCCAGCTGCCAGCCCTGGTCAGCGGAGTTGTGCTACATCTAGGGCAGGGTAGAGCGAGACTGAAATGCACCCCAGGGATATTTAATATCCCTTTAATCTTGGAGGGAAAGCAGTTTCGGAGAATGCAACCCAACGCCCTGGCGCTGGGGATACGGAGTCGGGTACCGAGGACTGCCTTTGATGACAGGAAGAGAATATCAGCCTGTGGGCCAGTTTCCTTCCAGCGAGGTGGCCAGTGGACAGGTGACGCACAGGGCTTTCCTCCCCCAGGGCTGGGGGGAGCGGCAGGGGTGCGGGGGGCCGGGGCCCAGCACGCCCTTTCCTTCTGCCTTCTGTGTCTTTCAGGGAGCCATCCTCACCACCATGCTGGCCACCAGGAACTTCTCCGGTAGGTGCCATCTCCAGGGCTCGTCTCCTCGTCTTACAGGGTGCCCAGGGCAAACCCGCAGGGTCCCTGGAGAGCCGGCTTTGCCTTGGGTGTTACAGGGGTGCTGAGGTTGCAGCCTGGTGCCTTTGGGGATGTGTGGCATTGGGTGGTGGTCCAGGCCAGGTCACCTGGTACCTCCAGGCTGGCTGCTGGCTTAGGATGCAAGAGAAAAGGTGTCTGGCTGAGGCACAGCAGTCCCCAGAGGTTTAGCTTTTTGGGGTTTGTATGTGCCCACCCATCTGGCTTGTGCCGGGGTGGGGATGCGGGTGTTCGGGGCAGCCAGGGCTCAAGGCAGCCGGTTTTGTGTCCTCCTGGAGATGTTTGTGGCTCAAGGAGAACATCCTCTGCACAGGGAAAGTGTCAGAAAGGTCCCCGGGTGCCACTGCAGCCAGATGGCAGCAGGGTCCCTTGGGTCCCTCCCCGGGCAGGAG